TTTAACACCTATTGTACCTATAAGAAAAACATAAAAATATTTTTTTAAAAGTACAATTTCTTCCATAAACATTTGCAAATCATAAAAAAAATTAAGCATTCTTTTCTACATATCAATGTTCTTTTGCAGTCTTTCTCTTGTGCATCTATTTACGCGTCTGAGTAAGCTGATGGCCGATCTCCACTCTTCTAGCCCGTTCCACTAATATCTAATATTTATCGATTCTTAAGGGTACCAACGGTTGTCTGATCGAATCCTTTAATTCCAAAAGGAATCTGTAGCACTTTTCTCCTGCAGTAGAAATTAACTGTGGCGCATACCTCAATAGTGCAGTGAATTTTGTTTTATGCTCTGTGATCATCTTCTCTCTTTTCCTCAAATTGGTAAACTTGCCTTGTATCTGTCATTGAGCGAATATAGGTACGAACTACTCTCTAAAAAGATCCACAAACTCCCTCCAACTTATCATGTTAGTTATGTCCCCTAACCTGTATTGAACGCTGCCTACGACACCACCTTTTTGACTTCTCCGTCTAGCAAAAACGTCGCCAATGGTATTTTTTTCATTCGGACAAATCATGATATCTAGTATCTTCTCTATCCTCTCCGCTTCAATTGTATCTTCAATTCCCTTAAATAAAGTTGGATGCATATTTGGAAATATCTTCAAGTAATTATTCACAATGATTGTATCACTTCCGATAGGTTGCGATCTGGACTATTGAATCAACTGAATCATTGTCGTCATCATTTTGGTGAGGACATTTGCGTTCACATTAATAGTTGGTTGTACTCCGTTTTTCTATCGGATGCTCTTCTATAAATTCGGGTGCATCACTATGCTTGAATGTATAAATTATTTCTTTTAAGCTATTTTTAATTATTAAAATTTTCTTATAATTATCCTATTGGCGATTTCATCGAGATTCAATCAGTTAATCTTAAACCATATCTCTGATACCACTTTTGTCATGACCCGACCCGTGACTTGAAATTAACCAAGGCAGGTACAGACGGTCGGACGGTATGAATTTAAATTTTATATAATCTTCTATATTTTAGCAGATGAAAGAGCCGCTACAAAATTAAATTAAAGTAGTACAATTTAAATTACCTTATTGATGGTCGTCCGCTTCTTCTATAAACATTTTCTCATTTATCGTCATCTTTTAATATTTAATTAAACCTGAATTGTTAGTTAAAATAACCGTGAGCTAAACGAGTCAGTGAATATTCATACTTCTAAACTACAACTATACAGGGAAAAGATGGAGCATTATGCATGCCAGTTAATCTTCTTTATAAATCAATATAAACATTTGACATGTTGTTCAAAGAAATTTATATCAATATCATATTGATAACATTTCATATCTTTACAATCATCACAAGAGACACCGTCTAAAAAAATTACGTTCATTAAGACACATCAATATCAATATCATTTTTCATTTAAGCGCACGGGTACATTAGTGTTCCCTCACCAGTATCATCAAAGAGTGTTTCATGATAGCCAAACATATACATGCAAACAGTCAACATAAACATATGTATTCATTGCCTGTAATCATAATATATAAATTAGACACTAAAATGAATGAGTAAATAGCTACAACATTCGTTACGATATGATCAATAAAAAAAATAACTCAATCAGAATAAAACTTCCACAAATATCAAATGTAAACATATTTGACAAAAAAATTATTACTATAATCTAAAAGTACAAGTACAAACCTCGACAAAAGACAATCTGCTTGTCCTTGACGTCAATTCTTCTATAACCGGGAGCCTAAACATTGTATAAAATTTAATTAATGTAATTATGCTTAATTTTTATTCAATAAATATATTTTTATAATAATATATTATTATTATTGCTATTATTATTATTATTATTATTATTATTCAAAACATAATTATTAACATTTTTAATAAATATTTTAATTAAAAGGTTTAAACTTATCCTAATCATGTGATAAGAACTTTTCTTCCTCCACACACGATACAGATCCTTTGCGCACGAGAGAACCTCAGCTCGTTCCTTCCTTCGCACGATAATGCTCGGCTCGACCGAACTCCTCAAATCGGAACTCTAAAGGCACGCACTCCCTCTCCTCTTCTTTGTCGACGCTCGGTTAGGGCCCAACCACACGCAAAGGACCTCCTCCTTTGTCAAACAGCAATGTCCCCGACTCCTTCTCGACAGAGACACCGCTTCTAACTCTCATGTCATTTTTTTCGGGTACACCACTCCTTCACCCTCATCTGCTCTCTGATCGCCTTCCCGTTTGATGTGCAATTTATAGGCAAATTCCTCTCTTCGGCTTCTCTACTGTTCACTTCCTCTTCCCAATTCCTCACTTCCCATCGTTTCTGTTCGATAGACCGACCCTTCACTTCACCTTCTCCGATTCTTCATTTCTTTTTTTCCCGGGTAACGGGAATGTTATCATGTTTTGTGATCCATCGGTTGTTTTCTACTGTTCTACAGAACTAGGCACCCTACAAAATTTTTTTTCTAACTCTCTTTCCTATTGAACCACACATATTTGGGTGTACTTGTTGTGTTCGTGATACTCTTCTACAAGTTTTTAAATTGGACCCTAAGTTATTAAGATGTGTCTTTCTAGAATAATTTTGTCTGCATAATGGGTATTGATGTTTTTTTCCTCTCTTAAATAAGTGGTGATTTCTATTGGTGTCACCTTTCGTGAAGAAACTCCTTTTATTGTGATTTATCTATGCATAAATCCTCACAATATTCTGATAAGTTGTTTATTTATCACATCATAAGTGCAGATCTTGCTCCAGCTCCACCCTCGATGCCTCCTTAACCTAGGCTATCTATCACTAATTTTTACTCGAGAAGACCCCATCCCCCCGATCATAGTCTGACTCTAGTATCATCTCCTCAGTAGATCCTCCTTCCAGTGACTTTGATTTACTGATTACTCTTCGAAGAGATAAACACTAATGTGTCTATCTCATTTCCTACTGTGTTAACTATAATCCACTATCTTCCAATTCTTGCTCGTTTATTGCTTCTCTTAACTTTGTTGAGGTTCTAAGATTTGTTCAACAAGCCTTATCCTATTCTGGGTGGTGGGCAGCGATGCTTGATGAAATGAATGTTTTAAATGAGGATGTAACTTAAGAACTAGTTGAATTATACCTTCTGTCAAGAAGGTTGCCGGTTGTAAGTGGGTCTTTTCAGTTAAGTTTCAATATGATTGATCTATAGCCCGTCTCAAATCTCAGTGGGTTGCGAAGGGCTATGCTCAAAATTATGGGATCGACTACGTGGACACATGCTCTCTGGTAGTTAACTTGACTTTGATTCGTCTGTTTTTGCCCTTACCTGCAATGAATAATTGGTTAATGCACCAGTTAGATGTGAATCATATTTTTCTGCATGGTGACCTTTCAGAAGAGGTATACAATGAGCAACCTTCTAGGTTTATTGCTCTGAGGGGTTCTGAGAAAGTATTTCTTCTTTGAAAGTCCTTATATGGATTGAAACAAAGCCCTTAAGCATGATTTGAAAAATTTAGCCAAGCAATAGAAGGGTTTGGGATGCGGAAAAGTTGAATTGATCACATTTTATTCCATAAGCATTATGCTTTAGGAATCATTTTATTGGTGGTTTATGTTGATGACATTAATATTATTTGAAGCGATGCATGGAATCTTATCATTGAAATCATTTCTTTCTGAATCAGTTCAACACTAAATATTTTGGTTCCTTGAAGTACTTCTTGGGGATTGAGGTATCAAGGAGAAAGAAGGTATTTTATATCTCAACAGAAGCATAAGTTGGATTTGTTTGTAGAAACAAGGAAATTAAGGGTCAAACCATGTAGTACTCCAATAATTCTTAATCAATAAACTTACTAAAGATGGAGAACTTTTTAATGATCCTGAACGTATAGCAAGTTAGTGGAAAAATTAAACTACCTCATCGTAACTCAACTTAATATTATGTATTCAGTCAGCACTATATGTCAATTTATGTCTTCCCCCACAGTCCATCATTAGTCAGCTTTGGAACAAATACTATGTTACCTCAAGGGAGCTCCTGGACAAGTTATTTCATATCAGGATAATGAGCATGAAAATATTGATTGTTTCTATGATGCAGATTGAGCAAGTTCCAAGATTGATTGAAAATCCACTACTAGATATTGCGCCTCTGTTGTTGGTCTTTTGGTCTCATGGAAAAGCAAGAAACAGAATGTGGTGTCATGGTCCAGTGTTGAATCTGTGTATCGAGCAATGGCACAAGTTTTGATTGCATTGATTTGGTTATCCGAGCTCTTGACCGGAATGAGTTTTAAGATGACAGTTCTAGCAAAGTTGTGGTATTATAACCATGTTGAAATCCATTTTGCGAAAAAACTTGTCTTGCTTGAACAAAATTAGCACTTTAAGATAGATTATCATTTTTTTCGCGAAAAGTTTCAACATAATCTTATTTCTACTACTCATGTGAAGGCTGAAGAACAACAAGGGGATATCTTCATAAAGACCCTTAATGAAACTAAGGTCGCTTATGCTTAGAACAAGCTGGGCATGATAAATATGTTCTCTCTAGAGGGGGAGTGTTATAGAAAGTCAAAAATCTGAATCTTGTATATTAGGAAACTCGATATTAGACAACCTACTTAGAGGAAATCTAATTACAAAATCCTTTCCATATTAATGTTATTCTTAATTTAGAGAGTTTAGAGTCTGTATAAATATGTAATATATGTTTTCAATTGAATAATAAAAAGTAAGGAAGTTTTCCATCATAGCTTCTATCCATTAGTATATATGGATGGACATATTTGTTTACAAGTATTTCTAGGCATGGATCCATCTGCATTGATATTTATATTTATGTATTTGTTAGAAAAAATTTGTTTGATCATAGTTATATTTGTATGCCTATAGACATGGCTTCATGCTATCTTACAGGTTGCGGTAGTTTGGCAATTATATGCATTGCTGTTTGGCAGGTAGAATATGGGCAATTGACTTAAATAAAGCTCGCTTGAGAGTGCTAAAAGAAGCATCGAAGTTACACAGTGTAGATACCGTTATCACCACCATCCACGCTGACCTTCGTCTTTTTTGTGTGAGTAAATTGTTCAAGATGAATCCCTATACTGTTTTAGTACCAAAACTCTTGCTTAGTTGCTGTTAATTGCTTGTAATTTTTTTGAAACTTTAATTTTTTTTATTTAATTAAAATTTTATGTGCTTTTGCTTTCTCCATTTGAGGACTATCTTAAATTAGCATTGATTATAGGTTTAAGATCTAGTATTCTGTTTTATGGATGATTATTGTGCCATTCATTGCTGTGCAAGCCGTTATGTCTTTTAGATCTGTTTAAAAAGGGCATTGTGCCCTATCCTGGTTAACTGAACCAGTGCTGCGATTCTGCCTGATTAGTTAAATCAGGCCCAGGCTTAACCACTCACAAGAGCTTATTGTTAATTTTGTTTTGGTTATTTTTGTTATGTCAGTCTAAGATCCCACCCGATTCTTGATTACATCAAGGACTCGCATGATTATTTGGAGATAATTTGCAATTTCTTTTTGGTAAATATATGTTACATTATGTTAAATGTATTAGTAGTTAATTATTTTAGTTTTTCTGGATCTGCCGAGCTAGAACAAACCTGTATACGTCAAGCTAAGCTGTACTGAATCTAGTATTTTTGAAATGTCGAGCTGATAGAGCAAAATCTGTTCCAGGGAGTTACTCGTGATAAAGAGAGGAAAAATTGTGTGAAAGGAGGAGAGGGTAGTCACCAAACCAGAGTGGAAAGAAGGAAGCAACAAATCACTTTAATAAATTAAAATAGCAGGGTTTACCCACTGCAATGAAGTTCCCGTCAATTCTTTTGTTTAGGATGTTTTACACATGACATTGTAGAGGTTTTTTTTGTGATTCAAACTTAAGAACTTCAGATTTTGATGGAAGGAACTAACCACTGTTCTAGATTGTCCTCGAATCACTCAAATCAATTCAATTATCAAAATTATCAGAAGTCCCTAAGGTAAATTCTAGGGATGCTATTTATATACGACCATTTCCTGGAAATAAATAATAAATAAATGGTGTAACAGATTGTGAGATAATTGGCATAATAAGTGACTCTTAAATCCTAATATACTTATACTGAAATAAAATCTGTTAGCTCCATCACTAGAACTTATTCATTGAGGCATGTAAAGTGCTTGCTCAATCCATCTGTTTTCTGATGTTTTAACCCTTTCAGCAAATCTTCCAATAACAGGGTTTTACCTAAAATTTGTTATACTATCTCACCAACAGTTTTGATTTCTCTTACAGGTAAACCATCTTATGAAGGCTGATAAAGTATTGTTGGATGCTCCTTGTTCTGGGCTGGGTGTTTTATCCAAGGTACTTCTTGATTGTTCAACCCTTTATTCTTTTCTGAAGGGGGCTAGGGCATAATCCTCACCTTGTTAGTTTTGGAACATATTAGACTCTGCCGAGCTATAGCTTTCCTTCATCGTATGAGAGAGTTCATAATATTATTTGATTTCTTATGAATTACTTAGAACTGCTGAAAATTATTGTTTCGGGAATTATAAATCTAATTTTGTTTTTGGAACAAAATTATGCTGAATAAATTTGACAGTTTATAAACACTTATTTTTTTTCTAGTATAACAAATACACTTTGGTGCTTAGAACTGTTACTAGTGTACTTTAAAAGAAATTGTTGGTTTCTATAACTGTACTTAAATTATAAGTAGCATTCTTCCCAAAGTGTACATTCTCGATATATGGACACTTAGGTCTTTAAAGTGAATGTGATGATTAGGTTGAAGCTTAAGGAATTCTTCTGAAATTAAGTAATTATAGTGGGAATAGATTCAACTTGAGCTCTGCAGTGAACAGAATATCTTCTTAAATCTCTTGGAATAGTTGACCTACTCATCACGTTAAGCATACCTGCATGTATTTAGTGTGGTGCTAATAAAATTATCCCAAGATCGTGTATGTGCTAAAATCAACTCTAGGTGTGCCTCATTATTTGTTTCACTATTAAGCATCTTGGGTAAAATTAAATGTATCCACGGAGAAATTAAACTTGCTCCATTGTGGCCATTTGAAATGACAGCAATTTTTCTTCAATAAATCTCAAGATTGATTTCCTTAAACCTAGTTCTTTCTGGTCTTTACAACTATGATCACAGCTTGAAGTAATTCATTTACTGAGATAGGGAGTGGGGTTTGCATGTTATCTTTAAGCATTCACACTGTTTTCATATGCATGTTGTGTTGATTTTTTGGTGTTTTTTCTCCATTCGTATGTTATATTTCCTGCCATCCCTGGAGTGATAGACCTCAAACTAACTGCAAACACACTCAGAATGTTTCGCCTACACTGGTTGAGTGCTCATGTTTCTTTTCTTCTTTTTGAAAGCAATATTTTGAGGTTGATTTGTTATTATGCCAAATGGGTAAGATAAATGCTACTAATTTTATTCTTATAGAGCATCTGTTCTTTCTTGTTCAAGTGCTTATGAAAACTATAGGCAAAATTACTATGAAGGAACGTATTATTCATACTCCATTATGCCAATGATTCTTTGAATTAACATATATGGAACAATCATGTTGAGTTTATAACAATAAATAAATCTGTTTAGATTAAAAATTTTGTTTTTGATCTTTCTTAAGTATTATCTACTTTAGTAAAAATACTTAATATTTGTATAATTTATCATTTGATTATGTAATTGAAATTATTCAATTTTTTTCTTCCAAAAGTTGGTTCTATTCAAACATTAAATTTATTTTGATGAGCGGCATAAAAAATCATTTTTTTGTGTTAAGTTTCGTAGGATGATATGCATACAAAAGCATCATAATCACATGGTTTAAAATTGTGCAATATAAGTCCAACCTCAACCCTTTTTTAAAATATTTTCTATGAGGTTGATACTTTATTGGGTACTATAAAAGGCTTACGCCTCACATAATGTGAGGCAAACATGGGAGGCGCTCCTCAAGGTGCGCCTCATCTCAGTTCTATTGAAGCATCCACAACTAGATATAGGGCTTTCCTCAAAATAAATATAAATAAATTAACCCTAATAAATATTTCTTACCTATATACTATACAATTGAGGATTTAATTGAAGTTGTTATTATCAATGTAGTCATTGAATTTTAAGATATTGATTAATAAAGAGGAATATGATTGAGATTTAAAATATGGAAGAAGGGTGAGAGAATATGTAATTGTGGATAATGTGAAAGAGAAAATAAATCATTATGCCAATAATTTTATTGAAGGCTCATTGGGTGTAATAGTGATGGGAACCTTTGAATATAGAAATTCTAAATTTAGTGTTTTGTATATTTTTTACTTTGATGGAGAATAATAGGATTGAATTAGGGACTAATTGTGTTGAGCTTATTTTAAATTGTTATGTTATTATGTCTTACTTTGATTTTTATATAATCTTTCTTATTTTATGATTTAATGTTTGATTGTTAACATGTTATTCTTCCCTAGAACAATTTATTATTTTTACCACATTAGAATGTTTAAGAGATTTATCAACAAAATAAAAGAGATCAATTATTGATGAAATTATATTCTAAATTTGAAGCTGTTCATTCCCATTTGATAAACTGTGATCTCTCTCTCTCTTTCCGTGAATGTGTGCTTTAGAGAACTACTTGATAAGGATCAATGACTTTTGACACTAACAATATTTCAACATCAGGTGCTCAAGCTTTCAATTGCTTGTGTGGTACATCGGGTGAATATAAAAAAGATATGAACATATACAACGCTTACATGGATTATTCATATTTTTATGCCAATTAGAAAAATAAATGTTATAATTATTATAAGAAAAAGAATGTCGAAAAGATTCTCAAAATTGATTACTAAAATCCAAACAAACAATCATTACTGATTAGGATGTAGATTTAGTGGCTATAGAAAAGCCGAAAGTTATTCCTAAAGTGGTTCAACAAATAATAATTAAAGCTCTATTAGCTCTATGCTCCAAGATATGAAAGCACTAACATCTTCATTCTGATTTATAGATTTTGGTGTTTCTACTTTTATGACTAACAGTTCATAACTTTATCATAATATTTGAGTGTATCATATGCCATCATCTTTTACGATTTTTAATAGCAATTTCATATTTGAGCTACTGGAGACATCAATCATTTATTTAAAAAAGTTTTCGTATCTCGCAAGCTAGCTACTAATATTTGATTCTCTAGTGATAGTCGTAATGTGTAGAATCATGCAACAGGGAAAATACTTGTGAAGGAGCTTTAAGTTGTATAATTATTTCCTTTGTCACTCTTCTATTTTTGAAGGGCTTTTATTGTCTTGTGTTACAATAAATGAAAATGATGTTATTTTGTACAAATAATTGGATCATCCAAATTTTTCTATTTTGACTCACTGACTTGACTGTGATTTATTTAAAAAGAACTATCTACTTCTCATTCCTCATTTGAAGGTTTGAGCAAGAATTTGTTATTTTCATCATGATGGTCACGTTGTGAATTATTTTGTTTTTATTCATAATGATGTATATGATATCAATCCTATTATATCGCATACAAGTTATAAATATTTTATAATATTCATTGATGTTTATAGCAAGTATAACCTTATTTTCCTTTTTTCTTAGAAATATGAAATATTCACTATTTTTTTTTAAAGATGTTGCTTATATTTGAGATCTAAATTTGAGGATGAATGTCACCTGAGTTTTTTTACCTTTTTCAAAATATGAGAATTATTTCTCATAGAATGTATCTTTATGCTCCTCAACAAAATATTGTTGTTACTCATAAAAATCACGACCTTTTAGATTTTTTTGGTCCTTATTGAGGGTTTAAATTCCACTTAAATTTTGGGTTTATATTTTGAGCATGATGATCTATCTAATTGATATATCGTCCTATCATATTTTAGAGTTCGAATATCCTTATCTTCATTTTTTTTTATAAGCTTGCTAAAAACAATTGTTTTCATACATCTAGTTTTTTTTTTTTTGTCCATCTATCAACACATAAGCGACATTAATTTTCAAGCCAATCTATTAATTACTAATTGTTGGGCTTCAACACTTCTCACAACTTATGTATGTTATGATTCAAGCTCTAAATGATTTTAAATATCTTATCATATTGTATTCCTTAAACATCAATTCTTCTCTAATAATGTCTGGCCTTTGTTAGAAGTCTATATTCTTCTTAATTTTAATGAACAAAATTCTTGCCTAGAAAAAGCTTCGAACTTAGAATTGTGTGTAAAAAAAATGTTCAGCTATTTTGCCTCTCGATACAAATCCACCATTTTAACCTACTTACTAAAATTCAGTCCCTACTCCTTGATGGTCTTCCATAATCTCTCTAGTATTACTTTTAGAATACATTGGCTTTGATTTCTATTCCATCAAGCTATTAAAAATCATATAAATATTGTTGTTTCCAGAGAAGCTCTAGCTGAAAATCTTCGAGGTCAAGGGAATAGTCACAATCGGGAGATTTTTTATTCTCTTTATAATATTCAAATGGATACAAATGAGTTTACTCAAGCAAGCTTCACTCTGATAGTACTCTGGGTTGTTACAAAACATGATTAATTTTCCTTGGTAATAAATAAGTTTATTAGATTGATTATGAAGAAATACTCTATCTGTAGCAAAATCATTGCAAAAATGACCACAAGATGAATGATTATCTTGATTGTTGCTTTATATGGTTGGTCACTTCTCCAAATGGATATTAAAATTGTCATTCTTTATGGCAATCTCAATTAAGAAATCTATACGGCTCGTCTGGCTTTCCTGATTTTTCTTCTACAAAAGTGTGATATGGATTAAAGTAGGCTCTTGTGCATGGTTTGATAAATTTTGAACAACTCTACTTAGTTTCTCTTTTCAATATAGCCAATATGATTTAACATTATTTTTCTATAAGACCCCTCGGGGGATTGATCTTCTTATGATTTATGTTAATGAATTTGTCATTATTAGGATAAATTTAACATTAATTAGTTATCTACAACAATACCTTTTGGCCATATTTCATATCTATAATTTTAGTGCTTTTACTCCATAAGTTTGGAGATTGACTGGAATGCCTCTGATACATTCTTAAACCAACACAAGTATCTACAAGATTTGATTACTTTGTTTGCCTTTGAAATACCTCCTCTGTAGATACTTTTTTAGAAGCAAGCATGAAATTACATAGTAAGGTAGACTATCTTGCTGATCTCACTACATTCAGACAATTAGTACACAATTTAAATTATATGACGATTACTCGATTAGATATTTTCTTTGCAACTCAACAAGTCAATTTATATAAAATTCTTATCACTTAGCTGTCATTTGGCAGATCATTTGATTTCTTGTTGGTACACGTAGTCATGGCTTCTTTCCATTTGATTCTCCTCTGTCTTGTACGATATAGTGATACAAATACATGTTTCGTACTTATTCTTTGATCTCATGGAGAAGTAAAAGCAATCCTACATTTTAAATCATCTATGAAGTTTGAATAGAGCGCAATGTATGCGGTATTTTTAGAAATTATTTAGCCTTTTGAACTTTATCTAAACTTAGTTTTCCATAAGACATTGCACTCATCTTCATGCAAACATAATAGTGCCATCTAAATTGCTTCCAATCCAGTTTATCATGTGTGAACAAAACATATCAAAGTTGATTTTCATTCAATTTAAGAGGCTTTTGCACTCATTATTTCTCTTTCTAATACACCTGCAGAACTTTGAATTGCATTTGTATTTATGAAGGCAATGGCATCACAAAGTCATCAATTTTTTGTGAGATGCTTCGTGAGAATTTAAATCAATTTGAGGGGGGATACAAACTTAATAGTCATTCAAATAGGCATATATTACCGTATCAATTATTATTTGTAAATTTTGGCTAGAAATAGATATAATTAATCAGTATAACCAAAAATATTCTTCGATTAGGAATATAATTTTTTGTTGTCTTATTAGGATAAATAAGATTGAGCAAATCACTCAATCCTTATCTTGTATGTTACAGTCTTTCCCATATAATGAGTAGAAATTTCTTGAGGGCAAGCAATTCGTGCACAACTCTGTTTATCAATTTACTGAACTATTGGCCAGCAAAGAAATGTGAAAACAGATATGTTATTCATGATTGTTGTATTCTGTGAGTTGAGAAAACTGATAGCTTGTTGAGTGAAATTCCTTGCTTAAATGATTTTGATGCGACTTGTTTATGTTTTCGGAATTTGATATGAGCTGTATCATTAATGAAAAGTCTAAACCTTTCACCTTCTCTTCTGTCGTAAATACTATATAGAAATCCATTGTTATGGAAACATGATTGAGAAATTTGAAATGTCACCAATCCTTTCTGGTTCCATGCAATTTCATGTTTGTGCTTGAAACTTTCGAGTCTTTGTGGGTCGTGGATTAGATTTAAAATAAAAATAAAAAATCACGGTTCTCTACAAATTTGTAACACTTTCTAATGTTACTTGATCATTGTAAATTTCCTTTTTCTTTCCTTCTTTTGTTCCTACTGCAAAGGCTGACTATTTATTGTAGTAATTTGCCTGGTATGTATTGTTAGGTTTGTTTTGTTATTCTGATAAAGGTCTGTTTACTCGTTTTTTCTTTTTTGGCACTTTTAACTTGTTCGTTTCTGCATTTTATGCTAGAGAGCGGATTTGAGGTGGAATAGAAGATTAGAAGACTTGGAGCAGTTGAAGAATTTACAAGATGAACTTCTTGATTCTGCTTCCAGGTCAGTTTGCAAATTTGACCATTTAAAAATGTTAAGAACTACGATTGCTTTGTAATAGGACGCATCAAGCTGTTGGATTGCTCGATTATGACTTAGATTTGATGTTCCAATGTCAAACTTGAGCTTTAGCTTGATGTCCTTGGAGTTTTAGCTCATGTAATCAGCTTCAGTAGGTGAAATGGGAGGAGTGATAGAGGACCTAAGAAGACAGATGTGGAGGAAAGGTGTAGTTTTCAAGGTTAGGGTAGGAGACGGAAGGAGAGGGGTTGTGAAGCAACTACATCCATCACTTTCCGACCTCTAATACCATCACTATATCTCTTCTCCAAGAAAACTGCCATTATCTTCCTGCAGTTCGCTGTCCTGCCACAGTTCACACCGGAATTCATCCGCCATCATTCCTCCTGCTTCTCGTTATCCCTCTTACAACTTCATAAACATCTTCTAGAAGCCTTAGAATGGTATCAAACATACTCTGATATTGGCTCTGTAGTAGGGAAATATTTGCGTACGTAATACACACGCAGAGCTGCGTGCATAATAACCGCGCAATAACCTCCTCTTTGCGGTTATTAGGGAGTTATTGAGAGGTTATTGAGGTATTAATTCTAATAACCTCTAACCCTAATAACCTTCCAATAACCTTCGCGGGTTCTATTTGGATGTTATTCATAGGTTATCATGGAAGTATTGTGGGGTTAATGGTGATCGCACTCAGAGTTGCGTGCGTATTTCGTACGCAAATATTTCCCCTTTAGTAGGCATCAAAACTTGTTATTTTTGTATTGTATGAAGTGAGTTCCGATTTTGAAAGATAGGCCTGCTGTTCTCTTTGAATTTTCTATGTGAATTTCTTTTCATTTGATCATGTATCATGCTTGTGCTATCTAGCCCACAAATGTTATGCTTTTGCTATTATTCTTTGATCAGCTGTCGGGAGTCCCTAATGCTTGAAACAAGTTAATTTAGGGGTATTTGTATACCTACCGCATGATTCTCTTATATTTACATATCAAACACATAAACTTTATTAATTACATACATAACACTCAAATCTTTGACATCACATAAAAAATACAACTATCATTAACTTTCTCAGAGTGAAATGCAACTTTTCATGCATAATTTTTTTATACCCAGGAAGTTTAGGTTTTAGACATGTAAATACATGAGAATTGTATCGTATGTATGTAAATTTCCTATTAATTTAATGAACCTCACCTCACTATATTGCATGAATAGGTTGGTAAAGCCTGGAGGGATTCTAGTTTATAGCACCTGCTCCATTGATCCCGAAGAAAACGAGCAGAGGATTAAGGCATTTCTTCTCAGACATAGGGTATGGCCTGATTATTCCAAAGCAAATTATGGTTACTTAGTCTTTAAAAAAAATGAACACCGAATATCTACTAGTTAATACTTTGCTATTGCTTCATTTTTTTTTCTTTTTATGGTATTTTCTTTTGTTATACATACATCTTGAGCCAATGTGCTCACTCGTTACACTGCAAATATTCTATGACCACAACCTATCTGATTTCAAACAATTAGTTATTTACATATTTAGGGTCTGTTTAGGGCAGGTTTCTCTTGCATTAATTTTTGGAAGATTTAAATACATACCAATCAATGTTTACGTATATACATATATAGCACCTAAACTTCAATGTATACTGTGTGCGCTATATATATATATATATATATATATATATATATGCATAATAAAGCGATGAACGGTTGTGTGTGTGTGTGTGTTTGTGTGTGTTCTCTGGCGATCGGGAGGCGATTTCGAGATGTTGACGACGTGCCTTCTCTCTCGACGGTCGAACTCTGGTGAGATTTTTCCTTTCGCTCTCTGGTTTTGGCTTCTCCTTCGTACTCGTCCTCTGTTTCTCGCCTCTTCGTTCTCTACATATGCAGGCGTCACTGCCGGGGGATCCTCCTCCACTGCTCCTCCTAAGTTTGTGTTTTCTTCTTCATTTCAAGAATCACTTATTCTTGGCGGAGAATATAATTTCATTAAGAAGCATGGGAAGAAGGGGGAAGAAGGGGGGAGGGAAGAAGGGGGGAAAGTTTGCGCTTTTCCTCTCCGACTCTGAAAACTTCATTCTTGCCTTTACTTGTCGTTTTCACCTGGTAGGTAAGTTCCTCTACGGGCTTCCTAAATATGATTTTCTACAGAAACATTTTGAGCATTTGAATTTAACTAGGGGGTGGAAGATTGGTGTTCCGATAGCAGACATATCCTGATTCAGTTATTTAACGAGGATGACTACGCTAAACTTTTTGCGATAAGAACAAAAGAACAGTTCGTTTTGAGGATGTCTGGATGAAAGTCCTTAAATGGACAACTGACTTTGATCCTCGGGCTGAGCTTCCTATTATTCCAGTCTGACTTCATCAATCTAGTTTAAAGGTGCATTTGTTCAACCATGAAATTTTGTTTTCGAATGCTGCTATGTATGGTAAGTCGTTAATGCTAGATGCCCCGCCCTATAACTTAACGAGGCCTTCAATGGTTAGAATTTTGATTGAGGGTCTGTTTGGCGCAGCTGCAGCTTCCCAGCCCCACTTTTGTCGCCGGCAGCTGCGCTGCCCCAAGAAGCTGCTGCGAGGAAGCAGCTGCGGGTAAACTGACTATTTGTTTGGTGCAACTGTGTGAAAACAGCTGTGGGGCAGCTTTTTCTGGAGAAATGACCATCCTGCCCATGTTCGTTAAAACTATTTAAAAGAAGACTATAACAACATGATACCCTAACTAGCCCTTACTATGTTAAAAAAAATACAATTTTTTTAAATACTAAAAATTTCTTAGAAAGAATTATTAACTATTTTTGAAAAAATAAAAATTTAATTTTTAAAAATAATTGTGAACAACAAGTTTTAAAAACAAGATAGAAAAAAAATATAACAATACAAATGATCTCAAAAACCACACTTCGAACTTTGTCTAAAACTCCACAACTCCAGAAATTTATTCAGGGCAAGGGAGTGAAGTCATGTTCCTCATTTCATTCATTTTGTGTATCTTAAATCTCTTTGAACAGAGAAAATATTACGTAAATTGAACAACAACATGAATCTTATCATACCGTGTGTTTAACAGCATGATATAATTTACACCATCATCTGCATGTCCGTTCTCGGGACATTTGTAGAATATAAAGACATTATAAACACCTAATAGGAATATAATAAATGCTAATCACAAAAATAATCAGTAAGACACAACAAGATGATATCAGATGTTATAAAGACATTATAAACACCTAATAGGAATATAATAAACGCTAATCACAAAAATAACCAGTAAGACACAACAAGATGATATCAGATGTAATTCAGAAATAAGTGCAGATTACGAAGAACATTGAAGGATTTTCATAATAATCCAACTAAAAAAATAAAATAACAACTGTGCATTACTAGCAACGCTATTCTTTTCATAATGGTCATTTTCAATGGCTAACATGAAAGCAAAAGAACAGGGAATGGTTGCCACAAAAAGAAAAAAAGATAGATAAGCCTTCAGGATCGTTGGATTTTATTTAAGGTCTGCACGAATTTCATCGCCTGACATGATCTCTGTATCTCCATGATGAGCTTGAGGGCACCTGAGAAGGGACAAAAATAAAGTTTTAACTCCATCCTCAGGTCCCCATGGGAACAATGGCTAACATGAAAGCAAAAGAACAGGGAATGGTTGCCACAAAAAGAAAAAAAGATAGATAAGCCTTCAGGATCGTTGGATTTTATTTAAGGTCTACACGAATTTCATCGCCTGGCATGATCTCTGTATCTCCATGATGAGCTTAAGGGCACCTGAGAAGGGACAAGAATAAAACTTTTTTTTGTCTAAAACAAACAAAATATACATAATCTATATATATATATATATATA